TATAAAGCTCTGATAGTCCCAGCAGTCTTGGAAAATAATATTATCTGCCGACTAAAGAGGTTGGGTTTATTGAGGGCCGCAACTATTTCCTTAATTAGCACAAGAGCCTATATCTTGTATTTCAAGACTTTCGAAACATTCATATGCAGTAGCATGCTGTCTTTGAATTTCAGATATGAAAGAGCGCCATAAAAACTTGCGCACGATTATTTTTCTTTTACTTACATAGTCTTTGATGTATCAAGCCATTGGTTGCATAGGTGAGGTTATCAAATTACCAGGACACATAACTCGATCTGGCTTTCGCACAAGTACTGGATAAAATAAGTACTGAAATTGGGTGAACTGTTTTTTGGTCTCTTCGCAATTTTTCACAATTTTTTATAAAAAATGTGCAAATAATTATTGCCTCATATATTTTTAAAGGTTAACTCCTTAAACGTGCATGCTGTGGGAAAGTGGCTATTTTGGTTTTTGAAACTTTCGTTATCATGGGACTTAAACTTGCATGCTGTAGGAAAGTGACTATTTTGGTTTTTGAAACTTTCGTTATAATGGGACTGAAACACCTTTAAACCACTTCTTCCCGACGGCAGTCACGTCGGCGAATGTTAAATTATGACCGTCTGCGTTTGACTTGCGTGAACTAGAAGTAGCGCTTGTCACATATCAGGCAGGCCAACAAGCCGGTAGTCCATAAGTGAGATTTGAGAAATATTCTCAGAATTTGGCACTGGTAACACACATTCTGGCTCATGGCTCCACTTACTACACAGTCTGTCCCGACTGGCAAGTTTTGTGGCTATCCTCTTTTTTTCTTCTACCTTTCAACGAAAAGTATCCTACTTATAAGCGGTTTTGACAGGCTTATTAATGCTTATCGTAGGGTTTTCGACGTGATCTATCTGTCTGTCGCAATATTTCACGGGTACCAGCGGACCTATTTAAGTAGACATATAGTTGTAAAATTTGCCTCAGGAGAAATGCTTGGCTTCTTATGTGAAAACAAGGATGCGTGTCACAATCAGCAACTTACTGTAAACCTCCTAGACTCCAAAGACCTCTCTTTATGCGGACATTTAAAGTAAATAAAAAGTAGACTTTCCTTCCAAGTATAGTATGCGAGATTTGCAGTCGAAAACCAACCTACTAAAATGGCGAAGTTGAGTGCGGATTTTGTTCACTGCGTGCCATTTCTGTAACCTGACCTACTTCATCTTCGTTTAAAAGGTGGGCGAATTTTGACGCGTACAGTAAGTGGCACATCCTGTTGTGCTCCGGGCTTCACACATGTGTTTACTCGGAATAGTGTAAGCCGAGATACACACTCCTTGTTGAGATTGAGACTATACGAGCTCAGCTCTGCCTTTAATCAGTGCTACTTTTGACTAATCTTAACGTCAGTAATATCACCAGT